ATTGTATGACATAAATGGGATATATAGAAACTTCCACCGAACAAATCTACAAATGTTAGACCATTCGGTAGTTTCTTAAGTTCTCTCAATATAATATCTTTACATCTACTCTTATTTCCAAAGAACGGTAACGGTGGTTTTGTAAAATTCATTTATATATAATAATAAAAATGTTTTTACCTGAAAAGTGACAGAAAAGTGACAAAGCATGAAAACATATATAATTTGTGAAAAGTGAAACAAAAAGTGACATTTTTAAAAGTGACATCATTAATATGATGTAAATAACAACGGTTTTGGTTTTGTCACCGGCTGGTCGGCTGGGGTTCGGTCCTCCTCTTGGGTCTTGGACAAAATTTCTTAGGGCTAGAAGGGGCGCAGCCCCTGGAAGCCCCTCATACCTGACCTTGAGATATGAATACTTGGTATCATAAAAAGCAAAAATGCTGCGATAACATTACTAAAAGAGAGAAAATTTTATCTCTTATAAAAATACAGGTTTCGGCAATCACGAGGTACGGATTCAATATAGCTTTAAAACTGCGTTTTATGGAAAATTTATGCTTTTGGCAATCATATCTCATTATCATAAATGAAGATTTCAATAATTTTATGATCTATATATGAAATATCAAATTGGTGCCAGCCATTGATTTTTTAATAGTATATACACAATGATTTCATATAATCATCATCATATAATCATCATATAATTTACATTAAAATTTACAAAATTGGAGAAGCTTATATTTTGGAATTTGGAGATCCCAGTCGTTATTTCTCCAAACGAGATCCTTAATATATCATATATTACAAGATAAAATGTCATTTATTGATTTTGTCAAATTGGATAAATGAAAAAATTAGCATTAACCCGTAGTAGCTATACTATATATCATAAATGCAAAGCGAATGATGAAGGAAAAACTTGATGTATGTCAATTCTGCCAAATGTTGTCGTAATTTGAGTTACAATATTTCGAATTAAGGAAGCCATTTATGTTAAGTATATCCTGGATACATGATTTCTTTGGCAAATTTTTCATAAAGAAGTGAAATCGTGAAAAAAATAATTATTCATCCGTCAGATTTAGGAAATATGCACATCAAGCCTCTTCAAATATCATATTTTCAAACCCTGCGCGTGAACTTTGATTTTAATTTATAATTGTTGGGATGATGCAAAGTTATGAAGATAACAAGTCATAACCGCTTTGTGTTATAGACCGAAAATAGATTTTTTCGGTTTTCTCTTCAAATAATTGAAAGAATGATACTATTATAGGTTTATTATATTATATAGCATATAATCATGCTATAGCCGAAAATTATAAGTTTTGAGAAGATTGAATATAACACAAATAAATTTGAATGTAAGTTAAATTGCTTGTTGTTTTTAATAGCTATTTAATGAGAAATCCAATATTGCAAAATTCAAATTGAATGATTGAAAGAACAGAAAAAGTCATTCTTTTCAATTTCGAATATTTTTCATTGTATTTATAATTATATGGTAAATAAGATATTTAAACTTGATTTTTGAAGGAAAATTCACAAAATTGAATAAATTCAAATAATTTTTATTCAAAAATAAACTAGTTATTTGAGTTTAATACTAATTATCTATTCAAACTACAAAGTTTGTAATTTAAAATATTTTGTGAGATCAGATTGAATTAATTCAAGGTTCTTTTCAATTAATATTAATGACCATATTACGCATTTTCGAACATTCTAAACCAAATATATAAAAATGGGAGACGAATGATAAATTTTTTAGACATAAAGAAGTTGTTTACCGAGTTTTAGCTCTTATCTCTAACAAAAAATTAATTTTTAAAAAAATGACCGAATACGTTTCACAGCGAGAAAAAAATAAAAGGCAAGATAGAATTTTCTAGACATAAAGAAGTTGTTTACCGAGTTTTAGCTTTTATCTCTAACAAAAAATTAATTTTTAAAAAAATGACCGAATACGTTTCACAGCGAGAAAAAAATAAAAGGCAAGATAGAATTTTCTAGACATAAAGAAGTTGTTTACCGAGTTTTAGCTCTTATCTCTAACAAAAAATTAATTTTTAAAAAAATGACCGAATACGTTTCACAGCGAGAAAAAAATAAAACTGTACACTGATTTTCATTTTCATTTCCAGTCACTTTACTTATTATTTTTTCTTTTTTTCATTTTAATTATAAATTATTTCATAATACGTTTATTTATGTTACCATTTTCTTTATTCTTTTGAATTCCATACTAGACACTTATAGAATATTTTGATTGTTAACGTACTTCATTAGAATGAATCCTTACAAAGGGTATGTCGATCGAATTTACCTAATTGGTATTTCCAATCAGATTGAAGAAGGTAAAATGACATGGGAAGAAGCTTGCACCCATGTTCCCATCGCCCCAACCCTTCAATCAAATGATTTCAAATATTTAGATGTTTCAAAATCTTTTTTACAAAATCAATTTAGCTTACAGAATATCCCATTGCCTAAAGGCAAGAAAGGTCGTAGGGTCAATCCCTACGACCAAATCAAAGCTCTTGCTGTGATACATGACCACTGGGCCTTTCCCTGTGGTCAAACAAAACAATGGAAACGTTTGAAATTACAACAAATTGATGTATCTTATAGAGAAGTACGCAGATACTTCAAAGAAAATCATTTCACCAAGACGCGATTAGAGCATGCCGGGCCAGAAACAGCAGTAAGATATTGGGCGCTTTCACCCAATCTTATCTGGCACGCATATGTTCATTATTTTAGGGGTGTTCGTGGCCAGTATATTTATGGCATAATCGACGATTTTAGCCGCAAAGTCCTAGCGTGTATACAAATACCAGATATGCTGGCAGCGACGACAGCGAACGTTGCGGCTTCCGCCTTCATTGAATTTGGCGCCCCTTATTGTTTCTGGACCGACAACGGTTCAGAAAATAGGGGCGCCTTTCAAGATCTACTTGATCTTTGGGGCGTCCAATGGCGGCATACAGACTCTCATTCTCCCTACCAAAATGGGAAGATTGAGAGATTCTGGCCGACATTGGAGCGCTGCCAAAGCATTCAGGCTATTCCTGCCTTTATTTGGGAGTACAATAATAACACACCGCATGAAGATCTCCCAATTAATCCATTAACTGGAACAAATTACACGCCAAATCAAATGTATCAGCTGAAACCGAAATACACAAATGCAGATACAGAAAGGTTGTGGCAAATATGGGATACAGATACAGGCATGACCGCTGTTGACACATTCACAGCGTAATAATAAACATAATTTTTTCATATCATTTTTAACAAGTTTTTTTAAATGTATGTAATGAATAATTCATTAGAATATGATAATGCACATTGTAACAGAATAGAACAATCACCAAATTTTTTTTTGAAATTAAAAAATAAAAGTAAAAAGTATAAAGTAATCTAACCAAAAAAGATATTTAAAAGAATTTTGGAAAAAACAGAATATGGATAATGATATTATTTTAGATACACAATCGATGTACTGAAGAATAATCCGGTAAAATGATGATATAAAATTAGATTATTTTACAAGTAGCTAAAAGAATAAAACTATAATATAAAATAAATGAAGTTTAATGAAACAATAAAGGTTAAATAAATAAAAAAGATTTTTATTTTATATCAGTATTGAGAAGAAGTAACAGCTGACACTTGGTAGACAACTTCTTTATGTCTAGAAAATTCTATCTTGCCTTTTATTTTTTTCTCGCTGTGAAACGTATTCGGTCATTTTTTTAAAAATTAATTTTTTGTTAGAGATAAGAGCTAAAACTCGGTAAACAACTTCTTTATGTCTAGAAAATTCTATCTTGCCTTTTATTTTTTTCTCGCTGTGAAACGTATTCGGTCATTTTTTTAAAAATTAATTTTTTGTTAGAGATAAGAGCTAAAACTCGGTAAACAACTTCTTTATGTCTAGAAAATTCTATCTTGCCTTTTATTTTTTTCTCGCTGTGAAACGTATTCGGTCATTTTTTTAAAAATTAATTTTTTGTTAGAGATAAGAGCTAAAACTCGGTAAACAACTTCTTTATGTCTAGAAAATTCTATCTTGCCTTTTATTTTTTTCTCGCTGTGAAACGTATTCGGTCATTTTTTTTAAAAATTAATTTTTTGTTAGAGATAAGAGCTAAAACTCGGTAAACAACTTCTTTATGTCTAAAAAATTTATCATTCGTCTCCCATTTTTATATATTTGGTTTAGAATGTTCGAAAATGCGTAATATGGTCATTAATATTAATTGAAAAGAACCTTGAATTAATTCAATCTGATCTCACAAAATATTTTAAATTACAAACTTTGTAGTTTGAATAGATAATTAGTATTAAACTCAAATAACTAGTTTATTTTTGAATAAAAATTATTTGAATTTATTCAATTTTGTGAATTTTCCTTCAAAAATCAAGTTTAAATATCTTATTTACCATATAATTATAAATACAATGAAAAATATTCGAAATTGAAAAGAATGACTTTTTCTGTTCTTTCAATCATTCAATTTGAATTTTGCAATATTGGATTTCTCATTAAATAGCTATTAAAAACAACAAGCAATTTAACTTACATTCAAATTTATTTGTGTTATATTCAATCTTCTCAAAACTTATAATTTTCGGCTATAGCATGATTATATGCTATATAATATAATAAACCTATAATAGTATCATTCTTTCAATTATTTGAAGAGAAAACCGAAAAAATCTATTTTCGGTCTATAACAGTCATAACCGCTTTTTATCCAAGAATTTATAAACATTATTCGGTTGAATTTTATTATTGATATAGACCTCAAGAGGATGTAATTTTTTCAGAACTGTAAAGGTCTCTAATTGAATTTAGATCATCGTACTTTTTGGAAAAATGCAGGATTTTGTATAACAAAAAATAGAATGCTTATCTACATTTATTGCGGTTTGATTTGAAAAATTGAAAACATATCGGCTTGATTAAAATTTTTGTTAAACAGATGCAGAGTTGTATCCCCCAACTTCAGTTCCCCAATTTCTGGAATTTCCTTAGTGATATGGACAAGTACCATTATAACTGTCTACGAATGTCAATCTCATCTCAGTACTCAAAGAACATTAGAAATAAAAGAGTTGAAAACTTTACAGAGATTATCGACATAATTAAGCGATATTGCATTAGAGGACAACCAGATGATTGGAGGCGTTGTCTTGTTTGTGGTGTAGCATGGCTTCATGAAGGCATTGCTATTAATACAAGACAACTCAGATTATTAATCTTCAAATGCAAGTCGTCAATCAACGGATCCCTCCATAAAATGGGATTTACCGTCAATATTGGCCGTACAGAGGCAGCAAATGCCCTTGTAATGGCAATTCCAATATTAAAAGACAATACAAACGAACTCAGACAATGGACAGTTAGACAGACAGGAAATACTTGTTTCTCGCCAATTTCTCCACCAAGCTTAAATCATTCAAAGCCTCAAATCAACTCTGCTCTTTCAATTGAGTGCCCCAGAGACCCACTCCCTGTTCCAGAAATAAACACAGTTAGCACAAAGGTCATCGATCTTCCGCAAGAACCGATGGATATCGAACCTCCACTCGTTCCTAGTATAATTGATTCCTATCCAAATGACATTATGTCATACTCTACAGATCTTTGGTAATGTCATTGGATACTTAATATTAACTTACCATGTTTTTTAATCTCTTAAAATCACTGTTATATAATTTCCTTTATTTTGCAATTAAAAGAAAATATTATTGTTTGTTTATGATGCTATTTTTTATTGAAATACCCAAAATCTAGAAAAGCTGAGGCATAACGATAAAAAAAATGTTTTTCTGGTTTAAAGAATTGTATGATAAGGAGTATGTTTCTGAGTAGCTTTTAACAGGAATTAACTACATTCGTATGTTATAGTAAGCAAGAATGAATTTAAACGCATGCTTTGATAAGTTTAGATTAATTATAGGGACACTTTTAACCTTATTTTAATAGGGTATTTGTGATCACTTATGGAGTTTCTAAAAAGGAATTATATTACTGCCTTCTAAAAATAGAAACATTTATGCACCATTTTCCATTAAAATGACAGCTATACTATCTGAATAAACGGATGATATTTCGATATTTCATTCGACATTGTTTTTTGTCTCTCTAGTTAATGTGGAAGTCATTAAAATGTAAACAATCGATAAACACATGAAATATCCATACATTAAAAATCGTTGTTGAATATCCCAAAATGAAATCTAAAACTATATTCAAAAGTTCAATGAACAAATAACTAACAACTGTATGTGATGAATTTGCACTCTATTGAAAATATGTCGGTAAGCTATTGAGAAACAAAATAAAAACTGATATTTGCAATATCTTTTCAGAACACATCTTATCAAACCATGTCTGTATTTACAGATTCTATTTATTTTGTTGTTAAAAGCGAACATTTTGATAGAAAATCTTAATATTATTTTTAATTTTCCTTTAATTTGAGCGATTATATAAAATAACGCAAATATTTCGTAGGAATAAGCATATTGTTGATCTACAACCTAAACTGTAGGTAAAATTATTTATGGCTGACTCCAGCTAAGATTTTTTGTATATTTATCAGATCCGATCTGTATAAAATCAATAAACAAACATATATATCGCTTCAATATCAAAGAATTATGATTTTTCTTCTTCAAAAATAATTTTTTTGAAAGAAAATTCTATATTTTTCTTAATTCCTACGATATTTCCGAAAAATCAATTAATAATATAGAAACATGGATTTTTTTTGATGAACTTACATATATGTTACTACACATGTGAGTATTTATATTCCGAAAAATCAATTAATAATATCATCAGCAAAGCAAGGATTTGTGCATTTCACTTTTTTTTGGCATAATTTTGTTTGGTAAAGAAACAGAAATTGTTTGTGATAAGTAGAAGAAATATATTTCAACATAAAATTATCAGAAAAAAGATACATCTCAAAAAATTTTTTTATATGATTAGAAATGGATACAAATCGACTTTCTAATCAATGGGCTATTAATATCAGGCAAAGTTTAAATGAAGAACAGATCGTACAAATACTTACGAAAGCCAAAATAGATAGTATAGTTAAGTTTTTTTCGTTTTATAATTCAAATTCTCCAAAAAAAGAATCACTTGAATTAATAAACACAATTTCCACTACTGCCACAGTACCACTTTACAGGCATATCCGATCCAATATCAAAGGACTTCTTGTTAAAGGAATAAGCGATTTAATGAAGATGCCAGATAAATATATGGACAAAGTAATACATTATTTTGAAGAGAACCAAGAAGATATGCTTATTTTCTCCCACCTTTCCTTCCCGCAAATCTTCTATTCCTTTTTAACAAAAGAATTATTAGAAGCTGCTTATTTATTCATCATGGAAGTATACAAACACGACAACAAAACACTCTTCCAGCACATTTTAATCGGATTCATTGACAGTTTCCCAGATTTTATCCAAAATATTTTAACAATTTACAAAAAATACATACTCGAGAAGCACAGTCCCATCAATGCTTTCATACGTGCAATATCAGAATCGTATTATTTCTTAACAAATTTCCATGATAAAATTTTTCATCAATGTTTCAACGAATTTCCCGAAATACTTCTTACGGTTCTCTTCAAAATGTACTTTCCGTTGTATTTCCCTACAGAAAGATCGAATTCATTCAACAATCCTCTGTTATTAAAATCAAATCAGCAACTACTCAAAGTTTTTGAATACATTGTAAGCCATCCGAAATCTCCGATTACCCTTACCATTATTTCAGCCATGAAATCAGAAAATTTTGATTCTCGCCGTCAAATTTTATTAAATGACGATTTAGGACAGTCAATTGTTTACGCGGTCATATCACCCAAAGAGGCCTACATCTTCGCGAACATATTCAAGCAATGTGACGTCATCAAATTCCCTACTTCAAGAAATCAACAAATTGTTCCAAAAGAATTGCTGAATAACTTAACTTGCTGCTTCGTAAACTACTCAATCAACTCTGTATATGACAATCCTACACCGAAATCTCCATCGCAGCCATCAGAAAACAAAAATAATTATTCTGAAGAAGAAATGCAGTCATTTCGATGCGCTTTGTCAAAACTCAAACACGTGGCAACTAAGAATCGCACTACAATACAGTATTTAGTCAATAATCCTCAAAAAGGCGAAGTTTTGAAACAAATTAATTCAATTTTGTCAACTCCAGGGTTAACAGACTATTTAAAGGAGTATTTCGCACAGGTCGAAGCAGAACAGAACAAAGTACTCCGCAATTCCATAATTTGGCACTCAAATTTCCAAAAATTTATTTCAAATTTTGAATCTTTTAATTTTGATATAATTATGAACCTCGGAGACCACATTTACAAGGTTATAGAATCCGACCATCTTGTTTCCACCAACAAAGAGCAAATTTTAGTTCCACTTTTGACGAACAAAAAATTTTTAGAAAAATACCACAAAAATGTTTGTCAGAACGAACCAGAAAACAAGCAAACGACCATCATCAAAGAAACAAACAATATGAAGGAACTAAGTTTGGACGTATCCATCCAGCTCTCCATTATTCCAAACAGTGATTCAAATATTATGTTTTTGATGTTGACTTCATTTGTCACTTTTTAGAGTAGAACGAACATCAATGGCCTTGACTTTTCTACCATTTTGCACTTGTTTTTGAACTACGAGAGGTATTCTTTGATCAATTCCAAGCGAGCAGGGATGATGAAGACAAAATTCTGCAAATCAATTGTTTCCGAAATCAGGAAATCAGTGAAATACAACACTGGAAGAAGAATCATCGAAGTCATTCGAATTGTTAACTCTGTGTTCACTAGTAACTGCGACAATCCTGTGGAGATACTTCAGGACTGCTTGATTGCGTCTGGTGTCGATGATTTCATTGTTAGTTTTCTTTACTACATCCATCTTCTGACTGTTTTCCCTCAGTTCATCAAGGACGAGTGGATGGAGTCAAACAGAATGATAGTGGCTGTAAGAGACACAATGTTCATAAATATGATGGCTGTTTCTAAGAAACTATATCAGTACATTGCGAATTTCTTCTATGACAATGATTTGTCTCCTTTAATGTTGAAATAACTTAAGGGTGCCCTATAGACGATAGCTCCCCCTCAGAAAAAATAACCTTAAATAAAACCAATGCTTTTCGAGACCTATTTTGGTACCTCCAAAAACATTTTTCTCGGCAAAAAATCAAGTTGATGTATTTTGTTTTGTCATCATAGATACTCTAATTTTCGCCCAGTAATGTTATATAAAAGGAGCTTTTTTGTCGAAATGCAAAACAAAATTGGCCGTTAATGTGGTGAATTATCGATTTTTGGCACAGCATACTTTCTTATCAATGAATAAATGCAGCTACTTGATAAAAGAGTCTTCAAAAGCAACTTTTGAAAAAAAATATTCCTTATTTACATCAAGAGCCGAATACTTTTACGATGAATATTAATAAAATTTGTCGGTATTTATTCTTACAGATTATCAGATCACAAAAGCCAAAAATTGTTTATTATTTTTTTCAGAATAAAAATTTCGAATGTATCAATTATATCAAATACATACATTTTATTCATACATTACAAATGAAAGATTTAATTTTTGAAAAACCTAAATTTTTTCGAAAATCAAATATTTCGGTGTATTATATGCGCCTTTGTTTAAATTATTCGCCAATTCCTCATCACGAATGTAAGATATTTTGGTATTACAAAAGAGAATCCATGAATTGATGTTTTCGTCCAAAATAATAATATTATATTGTCGACTGTGATAAGTTATTATGGCTACTAGTTTGGATTTTACAGCTGGATTGTTATTCCATGTGTAATCATCCAATGGAAACGTAAAACCAGCAACATCAATAAAAAGATAATCTGAAAAAGTAGGAGTAACTTGAAGTTCGTTATTATTAACAAGAGGAATGTCAATTTTATCTGTAAATCCCCAGCAGAATTTTTTGAAATAATCAATAAGATCTAGTTGCCTAGCTTCACATGCAAGCGATTCTTGTAATTGTTTGAAAGCATCAATTGGATCAGCTTGATGTATCTTTTGCCGTTTCGAGTACAGGTGATACAGATAAGTAACATCTGCATTTTCCGAAAAGTTCTGATTTGTGAGCGATAATATTTCTTTGTATATTAACTGTTGCTCATTGGGATTAGAGAATAATAGTTAGTATGGCTTAGTTGGGTACGGCGGCACTGTGTTCCACCTTACCCAAGATAACGGTTTGACACTTTACAAAAACCGCTAACGTATATTTTACAAATCAAACGCAAAAACTAACTTAACCTTAAATATTTACAAAACCACCAACCATTTCACCTCACTAACGAAAAAATAAACGTTCTCATAAATTTTCTTCTATATCTTCATCGTCAATGTTAACTCTATTGTAGTCATACTTGAAGTCATAAAGTTTCTCAAGTTTTGAAATGCATAGTCTTGTTAACTTACCTTCATCATCATAAGTTTTTATAAAACTACCATGACAATCTTTATACACAGTCAATGTATAATCTACTGGTCTAGGATGAAGTGTAAAGAACATGTTATACTCAGGAAGGAAGAATAAATGTTTAAATGTATGTTTGTTATATTTTTCGATTTGTATGAGTTGCTTTTGTTCTGTCATTTATATAAAAATAAAATAAAAATAAAATAAAAAATAAACTTAAAAATTAATGATATCACCACCCTCACACGTATGAAAACATAGCACAAAAATAAATTTAGGTGAAGTGGTGAGATCTCACCTCTTTTTTCACCTGTTTTTTCACCATGTTGAATTCATTGCTTTATAACTCTCTTCCTTGGTTTCTTTTTAGTTGCTTTCTTCACGTCTGTCTCCAACTTGACTGTCTTTCTTCTTCGTCCGTAATGATACCAGTTACTTCCACCAGTCAATGGGTCAAATGGTCTTTCGTAAGGGTTTCCATACATTCCATAGGGACCATACGGAAGAACTACTGGTGGAGAAGAAACATTTTCTTTAGTTCCATCGAATCTATTTAAATGCATTGTTTCACCTTTCATCTGGTCATTAAAGTCTTTTGCGTGTTTTGCAAACTCATCGTCCTTTCCTAAAGCATTTTCTGACTCAGTCGCAACGAAATTGGATGCTTTATTTATGAGCCCTATTTTATTTAATCTTAACTTCTTTGCAACCCAGCCTCCAATCTTCCCTTTATTTGCATCTAATGTCTTTGAAACCCTTCCTCCACTCATTTTATTTACTGCGTCATAAGCTCCAAGTGCTTTTGCTCCAAATGCTAATGCTTTTGTTCCCATTGCGCCTAAAGCTGCCCAAGCTACCATTTACACCATATTAAAATCATCTCTCTTCAATATTATCTCATAAAAGTTCTCGTTACTGGAGAAAGTCAATGAAACATAAACATTCTCACGGGCTTCGCCCTCACCGCTTTGCGGTCTATCTAACTTATTTCTTATATCATCTATACGCTTCAAAATGTCTGAACAATTGCTAACATCTTCTACAACAGTTATTTCATCATGAATGACCTTCAAGAACAAGCTCATTTAATATGCTATTAAAATCATTTCAATAATGAGTCCATCCTTTCCGTCTTTGGGTAGCACAACATCTTTCATTGAAGAAGGTTCGACAAGTCTTATGTTAAACTTACTGACAAAGTTTGTTATACTATAATGCTTCGGCGGCGAATACATGTAGTTTGAAAGACATAATATAGATTCTTCAGCAAATTCACTTATACTGGATTTTATAACAATTTCTCACGAGACCAAATACCACCAATTGACAATCTTGTAAGCAATCCTGCTGAACCTTCTACTGTAAATGTCGATGGTAACATTCCACAAAGGTCATCTATTGACATCGTTGAGTCACTGTATTTAAATATTTTCTTAAAGCAATCGTCATTATCTAACCATGCAATAGCTTTGAAGTTTTCATTCGAATATACATCTGCTTCATTAAATGTAAAACCTGACTTCTTTGCAGAGATGACTTTAAAATCTATTGAGTTTGTTTCAAAATTATATGCTATGGTAACTTCTGAAGGTAATGGATGTCCTTCCGCAGTCAGTTGTTCTCTCACTACCGTTTGAAGCTTTGTATTAAAAACTTTCATGTCATCTCCTGTATCTAAGTTCACATACACAGCAACAGGGAAACTATCTTGCTTCTTTGTTTCATCATTATACCTCAAAACATTAAAGTTCTTCAATAATATTGTTCTTCCTGCTGGAATACTTCGAACCTGTCTGATTTCAATAGCTTTCTCACCTCCTACATACTCTACCCAGTGTCTTGGATATTCATAAGTATACTGACTTTCTTGAATTTTGGTTGGTTTCATCATAACGTGTTCATAGTATATCTTTATACTCTTGTCAGTTAGACTCGGTGTTATGTTCTGAATATTTCTGACTTGCATTTTTAATGGAGATAAAATGAAGCATTTAATACATGACGTAGATGAAGACATGAATGAAACTACAGACAAACTTAACTCTTCTCTTATTCTTCCTTTCAGCAAAGATTATGAATTCTGTTCAAATGGTGTGTATTTCTATTGTGGAAAGATGGGTTCAGGTAAGACATTTAACCTCATTCGTCATATACTCATAACAGAACGTTTAGGAAATGACTCATATTATGACCAAATCATTATATCAGCAACTTCAGACTCTATGGACTCAACAGCGAAAACATTTATGTCAAAAGTTCAAGCCTCTGTCGTTAAAGTTCCAGACAGTGAACTCATTGAATTTCTTCAACGTTACATTCGACGTAAGAGGAAATATTATGCCATCGTTGAATTTATACAGTCAGGAATGCAAAAGACTTCTGAGGAGATGGAAAGAATTATTGACAAACACCACTTACGTCAATACTCAGGAGTTTACGATATGAAACGACTTACAAACTACATTCTGTCAAAACTTTCAAAATACCCCTTCAAAAAATATCCATCAAACACTTTATTAGTTTGTGACGACTTCGCTGGTAAAGGTTTAGTTTCAAAGCCTGACTCACCATTAGCTAACATCATTACTAAAGTCAGACATTACCATTTAACTGTAGCAATACTTATGCAAACATGGAGGTTTTTAGCTTTAAACATAAAACGTTTCATAACTGACTTCGTTATCTTTCAAGGTTTCTCACGCTATGATATTGAACTCATTTGGAAACAGTCAGGTATAACATTACCTTTTGAAGAAATTTGGGAAGCATATAAGTCTCTCATCTCTCCTCGTTCATACCTTGAGATTCATATCATGACTAATACCATTAAAGTCAAAAATATTCCATGGGAACGACCAACATTGTTTTAAAGTTTAACCTTCAATTGACTGATGGTAAACAAATTCCATGCATCTCTGTCGCCATTTCTGTTAATATTTTTGCTGTCATTCATATCATCCACTTCTCCATCCGTTAGCTTTTGAGGATATGCGTTAGAATAGCTGTTCTTAAATGAAGGCTTTTCACCTTTGAGAGCATAAACTCTATAACTTTCTGCATACTTTATGTTTGAACCTCCTGAGCCATCATTGACATAAATTTTTATAGGCTTCCACCCTTTGTTTCATGTTCCTGCTTCTTCCCTTAGCTCTTTTGTTCAGTAGTTCTACATCTTTATACACAGCACCTGTCTCAGTGAATTCAACAATATTTTCATTCGTTAGCTTTACATTCAAACCCTTGTCGAGTATATTGTTCATTTCATACATATAAAAGGTTTTTATTCTATATGAAATGAGAAGCAAATCCATCTTAGCTGGTGCCGTTAATGTTCCAATTGAACCAACATCAAATGTTGACTCACGAACGACAAACAATATTGTCATAAAGAACTATAGTTCAGAGTGTTTGAAAGAACCAGAACCAGAGCTGAAATCCGTGAATTTAAACTCAGCTTCAAACGCTAACGCTCCATCAGATGTTAAGTTAGAGTATCCACCACTGGACCAAATTCTTTCAAGAGAAGCCAACGACAACCCTTACACAAATGTTCAAACAAATCCTTCAGATAACGTAGACCATTACCTTCTTCAGTTATACCAAACAATTTTACTCAAAGACGATAAGAAGCTTTTGACAAATCTTATTAGTAAGAACCAAATAATTCTAACAAAGGAGGACCTTGAAAATGTTATATCACGAATAACAGGGAAACAATGTGTCATTGACTATCTCGACCCTGAAATCGAATGCTGTGGTCAAACGCCAATATTCATGAAAATAGGTAACATCCGCATCATTGAAACACCAGGAACTACAGGAGTTGAGTTTAAGTATAAATATTCGAATGAATATACAAAACTTTCAACAGAATATAAACTTTGTTTGAAATATGTTTTAGTAAATTAAAGCAGTCAGGACCTTCGGTCTTGGCGCTTTGCGCCGTCAGTCAAAAAAATTTCAAGTTAGCAATTTGTAATATCTATCCAAAACTTCTTCAACACTATTGAACTCATCTTCATAATGCAAACCTAATCTTATTGACTTGGTGCAGTTTTCACTAACACAATATTTTTCTGTTCTCTTGACTGACATAACTAACTCATTTGTTTCATCAAACAGCAACAACCAAAGTTCATGACCTAATACATAACATTCATACTTTATATTTTTAGCTCTGAGTTCTCTTGTAAGCTGTTGCATTTAATATTTTCTAAAAAGTCAACTTCAACAGTCATTCGCACTGGTGCCTTCAGTTCTACAGGCTCTCCTTGAAAGTCAACAAGTCTGAATTGCATGTCTTTCAAATTATGAGGACTAATGCGAACCCATTTACCTAAATGAGTTGCTATGACAGGAACGTTTGGAATGAACATTGAATTGACTGCATAACAGAAGGATTTATATTCTACTGAACCTTTACTATTAACTCCTGAAATGCCTGTGACATTAGCTATTTTTAGACTCAATGTATAAACAATTACCATAACATACGTATGGAACAGATTTCATCTCAATCGTTTTGTCAACACTTTTCAAAGGAAATGTCATATGGTATGCACCCAAAAGAAGTTGTACTCTATGACTCATTCGTGTTATCTTAAACTCCTTCGCATAACTGAACTTCAAAACTCCTGCAATAAGTTTAACATTCATTAAGTTTTCTTCGTTATCCTTGTTTATTGTAGTATTTATGAGAGCATTTAACACTCCAAACTAATGTTTCCATCTTATATTCTACATTATTGTGAAATCTTATTTCGTGCTTCTTTCCATCTATTTCAATCTCCATGAAATCTGTTTCATCTGTTATGACAAAAGTTGCGATAGTATTGAAGTCAACAACTCTGAAAGCAAGCGCTTCATTCTGAAGACCTAAGTTTGTTTGTAGCTTTACTGTCCCGTATTCGTTTGGGTCTGTACTTTGCAAATAGAACAACATTTTATTCTCATTAAAATATGACTATTGCTGCATATGCGTATGAAACAAATGAAGCAAGAAGAGCACATGAACTAGTAAACGAAAACTCAACTTTAACCATTGAAGGCAATGATTTAGTCATTGACAATGGAAAAACTAAAAAAGTCATTGATTTCGATACTTTTAACACGTATGACCCATTCATTACAATAAGTAAAGTTCTCATCATAAATGATGGAACGGTGCAATATATAAATTCTACAGTAGATGCCTCATTAGTGAAAGTATTAAATGTTCTCATTGAATTGTTAAAGAGCTTTCGATTTGACGACAACATTAAATGCCTAAAGAATTTAGTCATGAATGAGAAACAAATTCTCGGCGTTGCTGGTAGCAGTAATGATGTACACCTTATGACATTAGAATATTATAACGAACATAAAGATGAACTGAAAGGAGAGAAGGGTGACACCGGACCTCAAGGACCACAAGGAATACAAGGAATACAAGGACCTCAAGGCGAAAACGGTTTGGATGGTGAAGATGGAAAGGATGGAAAAACTGCTAAATCATGGATATGGAACCTTATAAATACTGGTTTAACAGCTGCTTCATATGGAGTTCTTCAATACCAAATCGGAAAGATATGGGCGGTACTTGGTGAAGAAGTTTTAAATGACGTTAAAAATGCTTTGAACTTCATTTCAAATGGTTCGGATACTATTAAAACTTTATCTGGTTGGATGCAAGAAACAAGGAGTCAAATAGATACTGTAAGACGTATAGCAAACAATGCACGTACGGGATTGGATACTTTACGAGAAGCACAAAATACACTAAAGGAAGCAAATGATATTCTTGGCTCAGTATCAGACATGCATGAAGATTGGCTTAAAGGTATTGACAAATCTTTTAAAAAATCACAGTCAGTCTATTGCTGACTACAAGAAAAGTATAGATTTTTTACATAGTGCTATGGACGTACATGATGGAAGCATAAGGAACTTACTTAATGCTAACAATAACTTACCAGGAACTATTAAAGCATTTATAAAGTCCTTTGTAAAACCTGGTGCTCTAACATTTAGGTCTTTGAGAGCAAGAGCATTGAAGTCAAGAGATGCAGAAACTCCAACAGAACTACAGAAGGAACTGAAACAACAGAAACTCCAGAAGAACCACCAAAACCAACAGCTAATGAAATATTGTTCGAATATTTTCCAAGGTACTCTGTTCTCATTGCATACATTCAAGAAATACTTAAGAAAGCAGACTTGACTTTAGGAGATGATGAAAGTTCTGTATATCTTTCGTTCCAGTTTCAAAATAGCAGAACTTTTGAGACAGATATGCTTAATGTATGACAACATCTCTGATTTCACAAGATATATGATGACACCATGACCCGAACACGGTGAAGAAGAAGTTTTACAAACATCCATTAAGACAGGAAAGGTTTTAACTCAAAGTCTCATTATTGACACCAAAGATGGCGAAGTGGACGTTCTTCAAGAGCTGAAGAAAAATACTTCTTCGGGAGTGGTGGTAGGCATGAACTTGAAATAAATGAGATAGAAGAGAAATTAGCCGAAAAAGCAGATAAAAACCATGTTCATTATATAACTTCAGACGAACAGATTATAACGGACTACCATGGATATTTAACACAGGATGAACAAATAAGCACTGAAGATGTTAATGAAAGAAGATATAAATTCATTCGTGCTAAAGGTTATGACATACACTGTACTGTACAGTATGACACAGGTAAAGCACCAGAAGCATTTGGTTATAACAATGAAATTTATGCTTCATACTTCTTTGTTAACGGTGTATTAGTTGAACCAAGATTTACTTTGAGAGTTAAGGCAAAAATAACTTTTGAAGATGCTATTAAAAGTAAAGCCAGCAAAGATGAACTTGAAGCAATGAACAAAGTTTTGAAATCTCATAAACACAATATCTCCGATATAAATGAACTTCAAGCTACATTAAATAGTAAAGCTGACAAGAACCATACACATGAATCCTTCACTACTGTTAGAGCAGACGACATAATATTGAACTATACCCTTGGTTCAAGTGCACCTTTAGAGAATCCGAGTACAAGCGTAAAAGATACACTAAACTCCTTAAATAGTAAATGTATGAACATTGAAGGTCATGCCAGAAACTTTGAAACACATGAACTACCAGCAATGTTAGATAAGAAAGCTGACAAAGAACATACACATAAATCCTTCACTACTGTTAGAGCAGACGACATAATATTGAACTATGATTTGGGTTCAAGTGCACCTTTAGAGAATCCGAGTACAAGCGTAAAAGATACTCTTAACAATTTAGATAACAGTTGCAGGAATATCGAAGGTCATGCCAGAAACTTTGAAGCATATGAACTACCAGCAATGTTAGATAAGAAAGCAGACAAAACAGAGCTTCAAACATTAAAGACTGAAATACTTCAAACATTATATCCTGTTGGTTCTATTTATACGTCAATGAACTCAACAAATCCAGAAATAGTTTTAGGTTTTGGTACGTGGAAGCAGATTGTAGATAAATTCTTATACTGTGCTAGATATTCAAAGCAAACAGGAGGTTCGAAGAAAATTAAAGAAGCAAACCTTCCACCGCACACTCATACAGGAACTACAAACACAACAGGTAGTCATTCACATTCAATAACAAAAAGAGGTTATACAAATCTTGCAGCAGGTTCGGATAGACAGGGAATGAATAGATATGATATTTCAAGTGACCCAGTAGATTCAAGCGCAGGTATTTTCTGTGGAACCACAGGAAATCATTCACACACTTTCACAACAAATCCAACAGGCTCGGGTGCAGATTATATGCCACCATTTGTGACTATATTCGCATGGTACCGCGTTCAATGAACGCGCTTGAGCCTAGAATAAAATCTTTAACTTTACATAAATGAGCTTGAAAGAAGTATTCGAACAACATCCATGGAGGTCATTTAAGAAGTTCAATGAAGCTGCAAAGAGTTGGGGATTTACTAACAGAGCTGAAGTGAAAAGGTTCTTTGACAAAAATGTTGTACATCAAACAAAAATAAACCCTTACGACTACTTTTTACCAATTTACTCCAACACTCCTGACGCATACCAATTTGACACTCTCATTCAAAGCAGAAAAGGAGGACATAAACCATTCCTCATCTTCATTAATGTTAACACTCGCAAAGCATATGCATATCCAATGAGGAATAAAGGAACTCGTGAAGTGTTAAGAGTTTTACAAAAGTTTGTAGCAGAACATAGCCCAAGTACTTTAACATCAGACCAAGACGGTGCATACCTCAGCAATGAAATCACAGAATTTCTCATTAAGCATAACATAACTCACTACACTACTGAAGACCATAACCATAACATACTCGGCATCATAAACCGCTTCATAAGAACGCTCAGAGATTTAAACCAAGAGCGAGACTTTACCGAAGAAACAATGAAACATTTTCTCGAAGTATATAATTCCTCAACACATTCTACAACAGGGCATACACCAAATTCAATGACACAACAACAAGAAGAAAAGTATATACAAAAGAAACGAAGCCAAACACAAAATATCAGAAATTCAACACAATTTACCCTCATTCCTGGTACAAAAGTTCGTGTAGTTCTTGACGACAAACCGTTGACAAAGAAACGTTTAAGGTTAAGTAGAAACTATTATATCGTAGACTCTACGCAAGGTAATGGATATCTTATAAAAGCTGCTGACGACTCTATTGCGTTTTACCCTCGTCACAAATTAGTCGAAAGTAGTAATGGCAAACTTGCTGAAACCATTGACGAAGCAAAGCGAGGAGTGGTTATTGAAATACTTGGCTACAACATAAACGATGACACTTATAAAGTAAGATATGAAGGAGGCGTTGAAGATGTTATACCATCTAAGAACTTGAGAGAGTCAAAGTCAACACATCTGGGACCATTAGAGCGGGATACTGGAAAGACAAAAATAAGCCAGAAAGAATAAGAAAATTCTTCTAAACTTTTTCATTAGATGTAAATCAGACAAAATAATTTTTAGGTGAAGAGGTGAGATCTCACCTGTTTTTTCACCTCTTTTTTCACCCTCGCCGCTTAGCGGCTCAGACTCTTTGGGTCTCATGAAAATTCATGAATTTCCTTAAGATAGAAAAATAAAGTTAGTTTTATTTTTTATTTATTTTTTATTTGGTATGTAAGAACAGAAATGTCAGTCGAAGCAAAAACATTCACGAACAAATCTAATGGCGAAACATTCACAAAAGGCACTTATAATGGTATTGAAGTCTTACGTAGAGACAAGGATGGTTACATTAATGCAACAAAGATGGCAAGAGAAGCAGGAAAGTTAAACCATTTAAACAGATTTCTCAATAGTGCTAAAATGCAGGAAATTCTTGAGTTTTGGTTGAAAGAATACGGTCGAGCCAAAAGTGGCTCAACCTCAAAACAAGCATTTTATGAGCTTACTAAGGGTGTTATAAATGAATTCAAAGGTATTTACACACATCCTGACCTCGTTCATTTTGTTGCTGAATGGTGCTCTGTAAAGTATGCATTTTATGTCAAAGATATTATGGACTCCATAGACAAGAAAGTTCATGAGAAGTTAGATGAAGAAGAACTCGAAGATACAGTAGAAAATGCAAAACATTTGTTTGAAGAAGAAGTTAGAAAAATGCATGAAAAACAATTAGAACATGAACGTGAGATATGTTATGGTTATAGAGATTCTCCATACGAACTAGACCAATGGGAACAAGAAGATTTAAAGAGAGAATTTAGAGAATATGAACTCGCTAAGATAGCATTAGAAACTGCAGAAAAGAAGTTAAAAGTTTGGGGTCGTTTTGTACAAAAATATTGTGAGTAAATGAACCATTTATTTTTATTGAATTCACCAAAAATAATGTTTAGGGTAGATGGTTAGATCTAACCCGATTTCTAACCTCATTTCTAACCTCGTGAATTTTCATGAATTTCCTTAAGATAGAAAAAATAAAGTTAGTTTTATTTTTATTTATTTTTTTTATTTTGTATAAAAATATGATTTCAACAATCGGCACAACAACAATTCAAGCCACGACGGCGGGACTCTGTCCACAACTACAGCACCAAACTCGCTAGTCATGAATCCTACGTCAATGTTGGTAGAGATGAAAAGCTTTATTCCTTCTTCATATACTTTAAACAAAATCCAGAAGATAAAGCAAGAACTTTTAACAAGTAATTTAGACTGTAGTGCGAAAGATGAAACAAATGAACAGTATCTTTATGAAATGGAGGACCGCATCGACCATTTGCCTAAACTACCTGAAATTCAGCAGCAAAAACTAACTATTCCTGAATTCGACGAAATTGAAGTCAAAGCAACTGACTCAGTAGAAATTAAGAAATTCATACGTAAAGTAAATTATGAATTCCTTGGTTTTCATTGCAACCATAAAGTTATGGACAAAGATTGCGACATGGTTTATAAAAATATTTCTGACCTTTACAAATCCGAAGAATTTAAGACATACGATAACTTTGTTTCATTAGTTGCAAAATGTGTATGGCAGATAAGAGATAAAGATAGAAGAGGTAAAGTATGGAATGAACAAATAAGACCCGCTATGTTTGAGATGAAGAGAGCAATTGACGCTTTAGTTATTTTAGCTGGTAATGTTTCAATGTATAACGCAAAAACGATGCCGCAATGTTCAAAATGTAAAGCAGCAATAAGAAAATATAACTACTCAGTCAAAGAGATAGAAAGAATGCGAAACGACTATGCAGACTTAAAGAAAGAAGCAGAAAAGCCAGCAGAAGATAAAATGGATATGTTGACATTTCTTAATAAAAACTATCCAACAGCAGAAGATTTCCTTTTATCTGACGTCAAGAAGAAGTATAAAGAAACCTTCGGCATTGTTAAAACATTCGATGTACTAAAAGAAGAAATAGAAGCTACGAAACTGTTTAGGATTTCAAATATACATCGTACAATTCATGTAAAACGCTTGTGAAAAAAGAGGTGAAATCTCACCTCTTCACCTAAAATATATTTTTATTGAATTCAGCAACAAAATTCTGAGTAAAATAATTTTTAGGGCATGTGTCAAACCGTTGAGTTTTCACAAAATTTAAAAAATAACGTTTACCATGTGAAACGTTTATAAAATAACTGGGGTAGAAATGAGGTGAAAAAAGAGGTGAAATCTCACCTCTTCACCTAAACATTATTTTTATTGAATTCAGCACAAAAATCATGAATTTCCTTAAGACAGAAAAAATAAAGTTAGTTTTTTATAAAATATTTTTTATTTTGTATGTAAAGACAGTAATGTCAACATTAGAGAACACAACAACAGTTATAGTCCATGAAGCTATAAATGAAGAATACGAGTACATACAATATAACAAACAGTTACGTCTCATTCGTTCAGTCAAAGATGACATGTACCAAATGCAAAGTATAATGAATGTTCTTCGTTCTACAAAGCAAGCATATCATTGGTTTGAAAACCAACAGCCAAAAGAACTTTTAGAAGAATTTCCTCATATGATTGCTTCCCTCGGAAAACCGAGAGAAGAGATTCCGTACGAAAATCGCAAGAATTTGGCTCCTGGTTTGAAAGGTTATTATGTTCATAGACTTTTAGTAAATGCTGTAGCAATGTGGGCTTCACCTCGTTATGCTTGTTATATTTTCATGATGTTAGATGAACTATATAAAGCAGAACGTGGAGAGATGGAAAAGAAACTTCATGCAAAAGATGAAGTCATTGAATCCAAAGACAAAAGCATACAGAAAAGAATACCGCGTTCAGTACCAAAAGGAAAGGAAAAGAGTTATAAGTATATGATATATACTAGAGTTGGAGAAAGAAGAAGATAAAGATATGGTTATGTTGCATTTAGTCAGAAGAAACAACAAGAGCTTTTATGACTTAGCTAAAATATATAAATCTGACAGAAACTGGTTCTATCGTGAAAACTTACCGATTTCAATGACACCTAATGAGCAAATAAAGGAAATTGTCAAAAATACTCTTCCTCAAACACACTATGACATCAAAGGTTGCACAATACTTACATTCAAAGAAGACTTAACATTACTGAAGGAAAAAATAACAGAATATTTCGATAACTTCAAAGAGGAAGAATAAAAAAATCTAAGCTAATTTTATTTTTTTTATAAAATTTTATCTCATATGAAAGAACATGAATTTAGAATATTCGGAACTCATGACAGAAGAAGAGAACGAACAACATGTAAAAGATTATGCAAAATTTCTGAAGACATACAAAGCATTTAAACAATATCTAAATGCTTCTAAAGATTATGCAAAATTTCTGAAGGTATATAAAGCTTATGAAAAAGCGTATGAAAAGTTTATACATTGGGGAATTGTTGTAAAATATCGATATGAAGACTAACCAAAAATATATTTTTGCTTAAATAGCTTCAGGGTCTATTTCTTCAACCATTTCACTTCCTTCGTCAATGTCAATAGAAGCTTCTTCAACCTTTGGTAAGAATTTCTGTATAACATCTTTGTTCGTTATTGTCTTCAGAGATGAAGGATAATATTTCACATTTGTTTCACCCTTCTTATATTCTTTCTGTTCGGAAAGATTTAAAGCAATACTGAAGAAGTCAATGTTAGAGTTCTTATAACAGTATAATGAGTATCTTTGACATTCACGAAGAAACTCTTTTGTTTCAAAACTACTGCTAACTCTTGTGAAGTATAACGTTTGCGGTCAATGACGATAGCTAATGGTCTGACATACTGACCAAACTTAGATTCTTTCACAAACTTCTTGTTAAAGATAACATTAACATTTGAAGCATTATTGAACTCATTCTTGATGGCAGTAGCGAGAGCATTGTATGAAAAGAACTTGCAATCTTGCATGTGTTTCATTAAAATAAAAATATTAAATTATTTTGAAAAATAACTTAAAAAATCTAATCTAATTTTTTCAAAAAATATTTTTTTATTTCCTACTAAAGATGTATCGGAAGTTGTCTAAGTTAGAACACTCGGAAATAAAACAACTTCTTACAGAAGCTAATATAGATGTTGCAAAACATTACGCAACAAACAAAAAAGCACTCGCTGACTTCATTAAAGACTATAATGGTGCAATAAGTTATGATAGAATTCATGAGTTCATAAAGCCGCAACGCGGCGAGGACGAAGTCCATGCAAGAGCATTTCCTTTAAATGACGTTGCTATTGACTTATATCATAGACGTTCAGTACCTCATGAAGTAAGAAGAGAAATGTTTGACATAACAAATGCAAACGTTGGTGAAACAAGAAGAAGAGACGACACACTGAAACAACAGAGAAGAGAGATGTTTAAAGAGCGCTATAGAACAAGTTCGCAAAGCTAACGATGTCATTCGTTCCATTGACGACAAACCAAAAGAAGGTGAGAGATGGTTAAAGAAAGATGAAGAGAATAGGAAGAGAAATGTGAAGTCAGGCAATAGACTCATTGACTTTAACATCGAAGCTTTAGATGAACCAAACAGAGACTACTTACACAAACATTTCGGTAAGGTTTTCATGAGACTCTTAGAGAAAATTAAAATAAACTCACAACAGAGATGGATGGTATGTTATAAACTTGGTGGAAAGTATGAATGTTCTACGTTAAACCTCAATAATATTGGAACATTACTACATCAGCTCTTGAAGGAGAACTTTATATCAGAGATAGAAGCAAATGCTGCAGGTATTGTTGAAATGCACTATGACTTCTTCTTGACAAACATAAAGAATCTTACGAAATAAAGATGTATGATTTAACAGAATATGAAGGCTTAACGATGTCAGATGTAAAGAAAGGCAAACCAAAAAAGAGACCATATAGAGATGAAAGCACACTGACAAATGACCAGAAAGCCATTTTGGAAGCTCTTAAGCAAACAGGAAACCCAGCACTTATAGAAAGCTTTTGGAAAGATAATGGTGAAAAGAAGTTTTATAAGAAGAGAAGCGGTCAGTTCTGGAAGTATCTTTGCACATTACCTATAAATCTTGAACGCTACCAAATCTTCAATGAACTGAACAAAAGAACTGCAACACTTATGACAGAAGACAATTGTTTCGTTTATGCTTGCATTCAGGCTGGAGTAGATGGAGAGACTATTGACCACATGAGAGAAGTCATTCGTGTTAGAGACTTTCCTCAAAGTAAAGTACAAGAAATTTCTGACGCAACAGGTATAGCATTTAATGTTACCATTGGTTATTTCAATGACTCAAGACATAATGAAATAAAGAGATACATACCAAAAGAATGTAAACTGTTAGAACTATTGACTTACTTCTTGTTGAAGACCACTACATGCTAAATGAAAGATTACCAATGACAACATATTTCATTCGCAACTATATAGAAATTCTCAAAGCTTGTGGTGGAATGAACATTGAGAAACAGATGAAGATTTATACAAAGAGAAGATAAATATGTAGTTCGTTATGATAGAACAACACCGTTATGGGATGTTATGAAAACATTGTGGGAGTGCAAATATTTCGAACCTATTTCTTATGGAGAACTTTTCACATATACGACTGACTTATATAAACAGAACCTTGCACCATTTAAAGATTTGACATATGCTCCAAAGTATTGTGTACAACTGAAGAAGAAAGCCGAGTCAAAAGAAGTAAATAAAAATAAGTGCAAGTTCATTCCTGAGCACGTTTTCTTTGCTGACTTTGAGTGTAGCACAGACGGCTTTCATAAAGCTTTTAACATCTGTTATGACAGTGAAGATGGTTCAGTGAGTGAAAGCATTTGGGGTCAGAACTGTGCAACAGAATTTTTGGAACGACTTCCTGACAAGAGTTTAATATATTTCCATAACCTCAGTTATGATATAAACTTCATCTTAAGACACATGACAGAAGTGAAAGGAACTCCCATCATTAAAGGTTCACGAACAATGCAAATAACTGGCTTATATAAAGGAAGGGCAATTATTATAAAAGACTCTTACAGTGTTATAAATAAGAAGCTTAAACTATTTCCTGCTATGTTTAACTTACAAACAGGACCGAAAGAAGTATTTCCATAACAACTACTACAGCAGTGTTTTGTTAGCAAATGACAACAGAACTGGTGTCATTTCTGAAGCATGTAAGTTTATCCGGGATGCAGATACATTCATGAAAAACATAGATTCCATCAAAGGTTGCAGAATAGATGAAACCACTTCGACTTAGAAAAGTATAGCACATTTTATTGCAAACAAGATGTAAGAATTTTAAGAGAAGGTTTTGTTAAGTTCCGCAATGACATATTGAAAGAATTTGATTTAAACGTTTATGACTACGTTAGTATTTGTTCTATTGCTAACAAATTGTTTGAGAACAGAGTGTACTTCCCGAATGGAAATTTATATGACCTCTCAAATAAACCAAGAGAATTTATTTCACGCTGTATTCAAGGTGGAAGATGTATGCTGTCAGATAACATTAAACAAAAGAGCGAAAAGAAACTCATTGCTGACTTCGACGCTGTTTCATTATATCCATCAGCTATAGCAAGACTTTATACTTTAGAAGGTATTCCAAAGGTTATGAAGAAAGAAATGTTAAGCACAGAGTATCTCATGAGACATTTATTCGATGACGACCAAAAGGAACCCATTGGTGAAAAGTTTATGTCTGGCTTCTTTGTTCTCATTAAGATAACAGAGATTGGAATACATAGACACTTTCCTTTAATAGTTTGTGACCCTGAACTAAATCCAGAACTTAACGTTCCCAGAAGTTCAAACACTTGCTGTTTAATGTATGTTGACCATATAACATTACAAGACCTCATAAAATATCAAGGTGTCAAATGTGAAGTGTTGCAAGGATACTATTACGATGGAAACAGAGATATTAGAATAAGAGATGAAGTAAAGAAGTTGTTTGAGTTAAGGTTAAAGTATAAGAAAGAAGGAAATCCTTTGCAAGAAAATATAAAGCTCATTCTGAACAGTATTTATGGC